TCAGTATTTTTACTACATTTACAAATGCATTTTAAAAGAAAATATTTGAGAATTTAGTAACATGTATCTTAAAAATGAGGTGAAGAATACAACATCAATTCAGTTTTAAGTACAGAAGACACTCTTAGTTTTATTAAGCAGCAAAATTAAAATATTCAATCCTACTAAGACATTTGTTATTTCCAACATTTTAATGAATGTCAAGGTCAAACACCTGAGGAAAAGCAAGCAACACCTTCGGAAAATTCTAAATATATGAAGGAGAGATGATGTGGGTATTTCCTAAGATTTCCTTAAATGTGACAAATTTGATGACAGCACAAAGTAGTTCAGCAAGGAACATCAACTCACAGAGTGGAGTAAAAATATCAGCCAGGCTCAGGCACTGGTCTACTCCTAGATTTCCAAAGCCACACATTCCAGCTGCATGCTTCCTCCCTAGCAGGAGACTTTTCTTTCCATGTGATTAAAATAATTTTGATAATTGCTGATGCCATGTAAACAGCAATGTAATGACAACCTTTCATAGCTACAGCTACGTTCTCAGATACTAAACAGCTTTATGTATTTAGGCACAAACAAGTTTCAAACTGTAACATTTTTCAAAAACCAGAGAGCTGAAGGTGGGGAATGTCTGGCACCAAGATGACTAAAGCAGCACAACCATGAATAAATTAAATGTCTGGCATAACAGATCAGGAAGGTGAAAGATATAGAGGCCAGACATCAAGTTGTGTAAAAGAAGGATTTGTCTTTACACACACAAACAATACTGCTCAAATAAGTAGGTGTAAACAAGTTGGTTTTAATATGACTACCAGTAACTTTTTTAATGCATCATGTGACTGTTAATGCCAAATCTGTGCCATAATGTGTGGGGTTTTTACTAATTTCATACAATATTCTGATTTTACAGAAGATACTCATAATACTCTGATTGAACAAAGTAAACATAAGGCTTCACTCAGCTAGATAGAAACTTGGTTTAATTTTGATGTAAATTCATATCATTCAGATTTGACGGAACTGGATATAAACATGGCAAAGAAATTACAATGACTAGCCAGTAATTGTTTTGTTTTGTTCTGCCTTTTTTTTTTTAATAAAAAATTAGAGGGTTTCCTTATCTTCAAAAGAAAGATTCCTAAAAATGTGTAATTTCATAAAAACATGATGGTAACTGACTTTTTCTTAAATATTGCAGCATACAACAGAGGTGTTTGTACAATAATTTCTGACTGATTCTCACAGAAATTGCATTTCAGGATCTTTTATCTATCATTTTGCCATCCTATTCTATTGAAGTTTCTCTTGTATTTGTCCAGTGCAATTTTATTATGCAATACTGTTGTTCTACATAGTGACATCAATTCTGGTACATCTAGTGGAGTTTATAAACCATAATTTCACAAGATTTATATGTTATCTCATCCTTCTTTCTTTTCTATGCTCATTCTGTGAGCAGTTGGTTGATGATACTGAACAGCAGGTTGAGGTGAGGGTGTGGGCTAGGGAATTCAGGAGAGGACAGACATGAACAGCAGCTTGAACAAAATGTGATTTCTAAAATTCTTTTGAATGAAGTGTTAGACCAGAATTTTCATTCACAAGGTTTGTAATTCATGGACACAGCAGTATTGCCAAAATAAACTCAGATCTCTTCAGAAGATCAAGTAGTAGTACAGGGTTTTGATACTGATAATCCAAACTGCATTACATTAATCAACTCTCCAGCTCAGAAGTGAAAATCTGAGAAGGAACAGGTCTACAAGAAAATCTCTAAGGGCAGGCATGGCACAGAAGAGGGGAACAGGAATGACCACTTGATCTTGGCAAAGTGCAGCACTAAGGGAGCAGCAGTCACAACAAAGAGACAACTACAAAAAACAATCAGAAAATACTTTTGTATTTCTACAACTCTATAAATCAGTGCTTGAAGATGTAAGAGGCCAGATGTATCAACTGGCTCAGAATGGGATCTGAAACTAGACAACACTGTCATGTAGGAAGCAGTACTACTGACCAAGAAACAAAAGTAGGTATATTCCAGAGTGAATGGCATAAAAATGCATGTGTTCCATTTGAGTATCTTCAAATACATTTAGATAAAACACACCATTTGTAAGTTAGGTGAAATAGTCCACTAAAAGAATAAGGAAGGTGCTTGCTACAGCTTAGAACCAACTGCAACTGTATTCCTGGCATTTTAAAAAAACTTGTAATACGTCATTACTTTGCTACTGCTCTCAGTAATCCATTCCAAAATAAAGTCTGATAGACTCTAGTTCACTACAATAATCTATTATCATACAATAATTCAGAAAAAAATGCAGCAGTTACCTCTTCTTACAGCATGAATTGTTATAATTAAATTATAAATACTACAGGCAACAGTCAATAACCAAACAAATCATATTAGCAATTAAAAAAACCTGCTAACTGGAATTGTTCACACCACTCCCAGCAACTTTTCAGAATATGCATTCTTGTATCTAAACCTCAGTGGAATGCCACAGCAACAAGTTCTTCTAACACCATTTAAGAAAGTATTAAACATGTAATAAATAGAAGACTCTCTCTGTTAGAATGATTTTTAATATAATATACATTCAGAAGTGGAAAATGAGGTATAATTAAATCTAACAAGAACAAGAATTAAAGTACATGCAAACTAATTACAGCTTCACAGCCTAATTACTAATACTCCACAGCAAATAAATGTAACTGTAAATGAGTTCAGCTGTGAATTCAGAATGGGAAGCCAGCCTATATGTCCATTATTTTAGAAAAAAAATTGATAACAGATAATGATAACAGATCATGAGGCGAATTTATGCTTAAACATACTTAAACATACTTAAATATGCTTAAACATTTTGCCAAACTGGCAAAACAAGACCCTACCAAACTTCTGTTCTCATAAAGGAACTTATTTAGAGGTTATCTTACACCACAAATGTATCAGAAAGCAGAAAGCCCAAAAGTGTCAACTTCTGCAGAGGTGACCAGAGTTTGCCCTGTGATCATACCTATGCTGTGGAGGAAGAAACTGTCCTGTGCACACCTCTGGATGCTTTGTGTAAACCACTGCATTTCTTGGACAGTCCATTGAGTCCATTTTCCCTGCCAGAACCCTTGGATGCATCAGGTGTAAATTGTTTCCCCACAATCCATCACCTGACCAGGCAGAAGAGATGTGTCCCTGTGGTCACTCATGAGAGGACAGACATGGACACAGCACACTGCACATGACCTTTGGGAATAGACAGCTTGTGGAGCTGAAAACCTGTTAAATATGACTGAGAGGACAAGTTTTCATGAATAAAAGAGCAGCGTGAAGGAAAAAAAAAAAGGGCAGTCCTAAAGAGAACTCCTCCACCCCCAAAAGGGGAAAGCGCTACACAAAGGATTGTGAGGTGTTTTTTCTGTGCTGCACCTAAAGGACTGTCACAGCTGCTCTTCCAGGCTATCTCCATCTTTTTTTTTCCCTAATGGAGCTGATCCTGACTTAATTTCAAAGCCTTTTTAGTACAGACATCATATTTTCTGAACTTTAAATGCCTACCTGCCTCCTGACATTGTAAAAGGAAAGTGCACACTCTGAAAACCCAGTTATGCCAGAGAGAAAATTTTAACTGCACTCTCCAGGTTCCAGTGCCATCACTTTCACTGCAGCAGTGGAGAATAAACAGATACCAGACAGAAATATTTCCTGTCAGCAAAAGAAGGTGCCTGCAACTTGTATAGGTAAGCTTAAAATTACTGCTTTGTTTTACCTCATGAAATTCGGTCAATTACAAAAATTTTCATTAGACTTCTAAAATAAGTAAATTCATTCATTCATTCATTCAAAATTCATTCATTCATTCATTCATTCAAAATTTACTTATTTATTTCTAAATAAGTAAATTAACAATTACTCTGTGAATTCAACTCATTATAATAAAATAATTTAATACATTTTGGTTCAACAGTACATATAGAACTTGGTGTACATTAAAATGCAAGAGCTATAAAAGCTAGTTTAATTTGCAAGTTTGTCAAACACTGCCTACAGCACAGTTTTTCCACTTGGTGTCTGGGCTTTTTGCAATTGCTACACCAAACCCTCTTTAGCATCTGAGTTCATTTGTTTACAGCTGTTTTAAAAAAAATATTATTAGTCTCTAAGTTTGAAATATGTTTTTTTTTTCATATGATTTGATATGGGGAAAAAAAAATGGACTAGGATACACTCCACTAAAATATGTATGTATATCTATGCATACAACAGTAAAAACTCTCCACTACAGGGTTGTAACTGAAATGTCATTTTTTAACACACAGTCATTGCACGGAACTTTCATTTCTTATTTTCAGTTTGGAAATTGAGAAAAGACTGAAAAATGAACTTGGAAGAAATTAATGTAGTGCAGTTTTCAATAATCACTGTATATACTAAAAAATATAGACTGAATTGCTAAATGTACATCTGACATTAGAGCTGTGATAAAGTAACACCACATACAGACATGAGCACAGAATAAATATATATAGTGAGATTCTTGCAGTATACAGATTAATTTATAGTTAAATGGAGGTACAGATACTCTTCTGCATTTCTGGAATTAAAGTAATTCTTTGCACTTAATTTGCTCATTTAATTTTAAATGGTCTGTAAGTGGTTTCCAAATTAGGTTACAGACATTCCAGAAGACTGAGAAATAAACCAAGATCATAGAAGTTATTGCCAGACCCTAGCTTGAACCTTCAGCTTCCTTATTTATTTTATTAGATTCTATGCACATAAAAGCTTTGGGGTTTAATTTTTCTTCGTGAAACTTCAGTGGAAGAGAAAGCCCAAACTGTAACCTCATGCAAACTTAAGGCAACAGCATGAAAAGTCAGGGAGACAGAAACAGCTCAGATAAGAGCAAAGAAGAGATGTTACATGCATATTATAGAAATATTAATTTTTAAATTGCATTTCAGCTCTGACCACTCAAGGAATCCTGCCATAAATGAACAACTCATCATGCCTTCAGCCATCACCAGCTACCATCGTAGCTCTCCCCATCCTCTACTCCTGCCTGTTTCCCGCTGGAATCTTTGGGAACCTTCTGAGTGCCTGGATATTTTTATGTAAAGTGCCCACCAGAAGGACTCAGTACATTTACCTGGCCAACCTGGTGGCTGCAAATCTGCTGGTTTGCAGCACCATGCCCTTCCTGGCCGCCTACTTTGCCGAGGGGCACCGCTGGCCCTACGAGTCGGTGGCGTGCAGGATCGCCCATCACCTGGGGACGCTGGTGATGCACGTCAGCATGTACGTGACCATCACCATCCTGTGCTCTACTGCCCTCAGCCAGTATGCCACCCTGAAGAAGAACTGTGGCCCACAACACTCCCCAGCTCTGCCAGGAACCCTCCACGGGCGCCTCCTGCACGAGTTCCGGCGGCCAAAGTTCGCTAAGTATTTGTGTGCTGTTATCTGGCTGATTGTGCTGTGCATTACAGTCACAGCCATCACCTACAACGTCCAGGAGAGGGTTTCAGGAGAGTTCCCCACGTGCTACAACATCAAGGTAGAAGCTGGTGAACGTCCTGCAATGATTGCAGCTTATCTTGCCACTGTGTGCTTCTTTCTGGCTTTTATGACCGTTTTGTGGTCGTACTATTCTCTTACCAGACATCTGAGCAGAATACAAAAAAACACTTGCATTGGAGAAAGACATCTCATTTACAGAACAGTGAAAAGAAACATTCTTGTCATCCAGATGATATTAACTGTCTGTTTTCTTCCATACCACATTTTCAGGCCAATTTTCTATGGATTTCTTTCAGATAATGACTGTCCAAGGTTAAATTATCTAGTGGAAATTAAAAATGTCCTTACTTGTCTTGCTGCTAGTAAAAGCAGCTTAGATCCACTTATAACCCTTCTGTTAGATAAAACATTTAAGAAAAGTTTTTATGGCCTGTTTACAAAACCCACACCAGAACATCAAAAACGTAATGATGATATTTTCACTGAAATGGGAAGGAATATGGAAAGATTTTAAAAGACTAGAAATAATAATTAACTAATTTAAACTACCTGTAGGCAAGCTTTGATATAAAATGGCAAATATTTAAATAAAATTGTATTTTCTTTTCAAATCATCTTGCTGCATCAACATTGGCCATAATAAATCCAATGTGTACATCCAAATGAATCCAAGTTTGTAGAGTGAACTGTGTAATACCCATTCATCCATGTAATACAAAAGATGTTTTACATTTGACCTATGGACACTTCCTTTTACCTAAAAAGTCAAGGAAGAAGGCAAAAACTAGGCTGGAGTTGAGGACCCAGCTCTCTCTTGTTTGTTATCAGCAAGAGTTTTGGACACAGGTTTCCTTTACAAGAAGGTTAAACAAAGCACAGACACTTTCCTTGGGATGGGTGAACCACAACTGTGCTACACATCCAACAGGCAAGTAACCACAGCAAGGCAGAACTGAGCAGTCAAAGCTTTCCAGATGGCAAAGTGCTGCTGGCAGGACTAAAACAGGACTGGTTTTCGATCATCAGCTGCAAGTCTGGGTGAGCAGAGCTGTTCACTACCAAAGTGCTCTTCTGAACTGCACAAACCTAAACCCAAACCCCACCACTTCTGTCCTTCCTGAAGTACACTTTATAGGGAATGTAGCTGCAGTTATCTCAGCAAAATGCCTTCCTGGGCTTGTTTCTCTTAAAACAGTTTTTGAGGGCAGCATAGGCTGAAGACATTCCCCCTAAACTTTTCTAGTCACAACCACTTGTTCCCCAGTGCTTATCAAAAAGGCAAGAAAATGAATGAAACTTTAGGAACTACTAATCAAATACAACTTTGTGACAGACTCTAAGCAAGATCCCATTTAAACACTTCTACATAGCACCAAAAAATAACATATGCCTGACTTTTTTCCTATGTAATCTGCCCAAGATGATGTCCTTTGAAGTTCTTAACTGCATCAAAGTTTTTCTTGTTTCAAATAGTGGAAAAGCTTTTGTGCAGTACAGGCAATTTGAGAAACTACAAATTGAGTCCTGCACTGGTCTAGCATTTGACAGAAGAGTTCATGGAGGAAAATCCCCCAAAACTTAAAGGCATGAGGGATGAGGAGAGTTAGAAAAACACTACAGCAAAACAGAGCTCATGTGAAAAACTTCCTGCATTGCTTGGACATGCTGGTGCCAAAACCAGAAGTTAGCAGGTTACATTTGAATTGTTTAATAAAAACAATAAAACAACTCATTTCTATTGCAGTGAACACAAAGTCATAAGGCAAACAGGCACAGCATCTGGTTTGCAAAGCAGTTCAGAGACCACAAGAGCCTGTCAAATTTTTGGTTAAGCCATTCAAATGTGCTGCATGGGAAGCCAGCTCATCGATCAGAAGACAGGAGTTTTCTGACTGTGTGAGCAAATGACTGAAACATATAAACTTATTGACCAGAAAGTTTGTAAATGTTCAACTCCAGGTAGGCCAAGCAGAATAAACACACTTTTCTCAGCCTAACTGCTTCTGAACATACTAACAGGTCAACAGGAAAAGGGCTGGACAAAACAAGCATGGGGACCTGGAGATAGGAAGCAGGGGCACAGGAGTGAAAATAAACAGGGGAAAAGAGCATTGCCTGAAGAAACACTGAGAAATGATACTGAAAGTTTTGTTTTTGGAGTCTCTTGTACATTGAATGAGGAAGCGTATCTCAGAAAAAAATGTGGCCAGGTAGGACACTCAATTGCACCTCTGAAAAAGGGGGTTTTGTAGCCTTAATCACTTTTTAACAACTTAATATGTAACAAAATCCTCACCAAGAAGTCGCTACTGGATCTCAAGGATCTAGTAAGCTCTAGAAAATACAGAAAAAACAGCAATTATTACTGTATGTCCCCAGAAAGCATAAAAGAAGTTTCAAAGCAAAAAGACTGGAAGGAAAGTAACATGCAATAGATTTCTTGTTCTGGGTATTCAAACATGGAAAAAGACAAAGAACAGATTCTATCCTGGTAATTTTTTAAATAGTCAAATATACAGTTACATAAACACACACAAACATATATATACTACTTTTACTCATTTTTTAGAAATGTCTAAAAGCAGAAGTGTAAGAGTGTTGAACTCTACCAGCAAAATCTGAAATGCTAAGCTAGAAGCAGTTCAGGCAATGAAAGACAGAAGTGGTAACTGAGTGTGCTCTCAGAATTCATATCATGGGTTAAGTTCTGTGAAATGCAAAAATCACCATGCAAATCTATCCACAGGTCAAGTCTCAGGCCACCTGCACCAACTCAGATGTGTATGTGACACACAGTGCAGAGCATAATACTTGGTCCTATTCCCTGGAAAAACTCCCTGGTTTTGACTCCCAGTCACAGAAATATTGAACTGAATCTTAATGACAGAGAAGGTAGAATATGTATAGTTTTGCTTTAGCAGGTTTATCTATTTAGATGATCACAAGTAGGAAAGCATTCATACCTATCCAGATAAAGCCATAATTAAAATTTTGGATGTCTGCATTTTGCTGACAGGCTTACCCTGACCCCCGTTGCACACTAATTTGCTAATCAGTAACATATACAGGTATGTGGAAATCATGGAACAAAGCTGGAGCACTTGGAATGAGTTAAGGATAAAACTTCAGCAACTAAAGCTCTTGATGTGATTAAATTACTCTTACACCTTATATACTCTCACTCTTATATCCCTCAGTTATACTAAAAGTCATTTTTATAGCAACAATTTTGCAACTATGGAAAATTCTACATAACAATAAAGGCTCAGAAAGGATTGCAAAACCTCTTGATAATTTACTGATAAAAACCATTCTGTTCAAGTTATTGCAAAAATAAGCCAATAACAAATGGTACTCAAATTGGAGCAGGAGTTTTACAAGAAAACACAAGAATCTCATTTCTGAGCCACATCCCCCCTTTCCCTTTTGTTGTTCTCTTACATAAAGATTTCTCTGTACACAAGCTGCTCTGTAATAACACTTGGTAATGGAAAAGACTTCCTTTCAATGCTGCTACTTTCAACAGTCACCTTCTGGGTATTCCTGACACAGCAAGGTTATGACAGAAGAAAAGGAATTGCTGAGTCCTCTATCAGTAGGGTGAAAGAACAGGAACAAATGCTGTGGTAAGGGAAAAAATTCTTGACATTCACATTTCTGATGCACAACTGTCTTGAGTTTTCCACCTCCCTGCACCTTCTGTTTTCCTTACCATGTGATCCAGCTTCCAAGCACTGCAGGATCATGTTCACTGAGGGTGAAGCAGATTTTTAATTGTCACTGATTATAAAGCCTTTAAGCAATGCTGAAGGGGCCCAAATGATGTACACAGGCTCAAGAAATATCTGGTCTCACAGAGCAATTAGGACAACTGCAGGCCATCCTGTGAAAGCTTTCACATTTTCATTCTGACATCAGAGGTGAATGTGGGGACAGCGAGTTTGTCCCAGGCTGGGGTCACTTGGAAAAGTCAGGTGAAGTTTCTGGTACCAGACAACAGCAAACTTTAATTTTGTCTGCTATAAACTGTCTAACTTCCTAATCAGCCAGGAGCTAAGGGAGCACAAAAACAGCTGCAAGACACCTGAACCTTACATGGACTATAAGGTGCTGATCTTCCTGTGCAGCAAAAAATGACCAAGCATTTTACATTTCAAAATAACATTCACAGAAAGTCTAAAAGGGAGAAAAATACAGCCTGACTATATCAACCTCACAGATTTTATCAAAGCACTTTCACTTTCACCCATTCAGGTAATTTCTAAAGTGGTCATTTAATCTATTTCCTTTCAAAACAACATCTACAGTGACATCTAGAGCCTGGATAATGCACTTTAATGTGTTCAACTCCCAAACCCCACAGCTCTGCACTGCTTTTGCCAAAACAAAACACTGCTGGTTTAAACAGCTTTACACCAATACCTTAGACATTTTTTTCCTAACCCATGTAATTTGAACAGGTTCATTTCTAAGGATGGTATTGAAAAAAAAACAACCCGGTGATTCTGAGGTTCTAAGAGACAGGATAAGCACTAAAATAAATCCCCACTTTACCCTCAGCAAAAAGGCCTCCCTCAAAGGCCCTTGAAGCTAACGCTTCTTTTTTTTTTCAAGAAAAGCAAGTGGAGCTTTCACAAAGACACAGCAACATAAAGATTAAGTTAATTCGGAAATTCATGAAGTACTAAAACCAAGCAATTAAAAGTACCTAGAACCCTCAACACAGAACAGGATGAGACATTCTACCAGCAATTAAGAGCTGGCATTCAAAAATTCTGATTTTTAGACTCTGTCTTAAGAAATGACTGTTAAAACAAAAAAACTTCAAAAGAAAGCCTCTTAATAATCTTCTTGATTTTAAAAGGAAAGGAGTAAGAGGTTGTGAATGGTATGCAATGCCTGGGTACAGAAGACCAGATAACTCCTCATAAAAACCACAAATTCAGTGTCTGTATTCTCTCCCCTCATAGGTCTCCTGCAAACCTGCAGGAGTCTGAAGCACAGTTTACTCTCCCTCCATCTTCTCTGTTCATTAAAATCCAAAAGTCACTTCTCAAACTGCACCATCAGAGCTTGCCAGTATTTTCCTTACTTCCTACAGTGCTTGACTCACTTTGGATGAAACCAAACTCTTGAAGAAATGGGAATAACTACTTTAGGCAATGACATTAACAAAGAATATGCACATATTCAAATTGAAGAGAGTCAAGCCCACTTGAGTTAAAACTCCCAGCTACTTACAATGAAGTACTTTAGGATAAACTACTTCCATAAATATCCATAGAAACAGCACAAAGTTTACCAGATTAAAACCAATATGTACATACACTGGTCTTAAACACTGCATTTATCCTCCCAAACTTATTTATATTAAAGAAGTTTTCATAATAATAAATGTTTATTGGACTGTCTCCAAGAAGCAGATAATATTACTAATATTGTAGCATTTAAGCCTGTGCATCTCTATGAAATCTCAGTGTGAATGAGGGCTGTCATTATGCTGTCAAATTGATGCCAATAAACTACCAATTCCAGTTTAATTTATGCAATTAATTTATATACACATTTTCCTAACAAGAAGAAAATGCAAGCAGATTCCGTATGCATATTCAAAAACTAGAAATTAAACTGACTTTCAAAGCATGTTGTAATCAAATGCATGTACAATTTGTGAATACAGACCTCCTAAATGTTCTATATTGATGGAATTAGGGTGGGCTTCAATCTTACATGACACAGTAAGCGTAAAAACACACTCAGCAAATGGAGATTCCTTTTCTACAGCTCCTCCCCCCTCTCTAAATTATAGAAATTGAAATTCAGCACTTTGCATTATTGTGGTGAAGGAAAAAAAAAAGTAATTAAGCCCCCTTACCTTCACATCTCTGTGAATTATATTATTATCATGACAGTAACGTAGAGCTTCCAGTATCTGTCTCATGTAATGACTGAAAAAACAAACACATTATGCATGACAAACCTGCAGGAAAAATTACTATACACATTTAACAATCTAAGTATTAAGAGTCTAACTGTATAAAACTAATCAACCAATTTAATCTCAAATACACAGAGATGAATGGAGAAAGCAGTTTAGAACGGAGTTTAGGTTTATAGTAGTGAATAATACAATCAAAAGCTTGAGAATTATTCTGATTGAAGATGAGGGAAATTAGAAAAGAAAAATCTGTGTTTTCCAGGTTTTTTTAAAGGTTCCAAATGTTCAGTAATTCTGCTTGATATAACAAAGAAGTCAGGGACCCTTCATTTATTTTAGTAAAAAAAAACCACAAAGGAAAAAAGAAAGAAAAAAGTAAGTATCAGTGCCTGATTTATCTGGAAAAGGACTGCACCAAGGCTTGCTTGGTGCAGACTGGAGAAGATCCCTGTTCTCCACTGTGTCCAAAGGATGCCCAAAGAGACCACAGCAGGGCCAACACGTGCAGCAGCACCCTGTGCTGCTTCAGAGCATCACTGTGGCTCAGGGAGCCAATCCTTGTTCTCTGGGGGCTCCAGCTGGTTAAGGGCAATGCTTTTGCCCACAGGAACATCACAATGCACTGGATCAAGGTGCTCAGGGAGGCTGTGCAATCTCCCTCCTTGGAGGGATTCTAGACCCCACTGGACAAAGCCTGAGCAGCACAACACAAATGCTGTGCTGAGCCTGAGCAGGAGCTTCAAACACAGACATTGATGTCTCCTTCAACCTGGCTCCTAGCATGCTAAAAAATCCACAGTGTTCAGAAAAGCAAACAAAGAATGCTGTGGGCTGTGAGCTAGTTCAACTATCAGGCCATCAGGACAGTGGATTTCACTGCCCTTTTGCAATTTTATAGAGTCTTTCATCTTAGTTAATCTCAGAAGTGAAAAGGTGAGGTGACCATAAATACATTAGATACATTAGAAAGACAAAACCCTAATCAACTCCATCTAGAAAGAAAAAACCAAACCAACTCCACCAGTAAAATTCTCACCCTGTCAGGCAAGTCACTTAATGCCATCACATGAGAGATCCATAAAGGCAAACACAGCCAATTATGTATCAGATGTGAAATACAGTTTTACTCAGTAATCTCATCCAAATCTGTAACTAGTAAATGGCAAAATGCTCCAAAATTCTACTTTGATTGTGCTAATTATTGCAATAAACATCTAGAGTGTGGAAATAGGATTATTTATAGTACAACTTTCAAGTTTTAGCTAACAGATTGTACAACACTATATTCCATTCTTTTCTATTTATCCTGAGGGATTAATTAAAACTATAATAAATACCTGGCTACGGCTTCACTGTAGACAAATCCAGCATCTGCTCTCTTCACAATTTCAAAACACAGGTCTGCTCCATCCATACTGTAGGTAAAAAGAGGCAAAAATGCTTAAAACCTGGTAACTAAAATCAATTACATAAAAATGCTTTAAAAAATGTATTTATTTCCCTTACATAAATCTTATACTCTAGATACAAGTACAGTGCATTACTCATTAAAACAGCATTTAATGGGTAATCTAATAGAAAATGGCTTGCCACAGGTTAACCATTTTATGTCCCTCAAGTCATGTAACAGTTCTCTAAAAGCATTACCAATACCAAACATTTACTTAATTGCTTAAACTGCTCATTGAACAAGGTGTGCAAGAAAAGTCAATGCCCTGCAAAAAGGACACTGCAATTTAACAATTAGCTCCTGATATTAGGTTAAGTCTGTTCTTATAAGCATTGCAAGTGCAACTCTATACTAATGACTGTAGTAATAAGAAAATGTTAGTCAATTTGAATTTTAAATGAAGACTTTAAAAAATACTCTAGAAATATAGTACAGTCTTGCCAGTTGGCATTCTCCTCTGGATAATTAAGCAGCTAAGATGAGATTTTACAGCTCAAAGATACCTGAGAACACTGACAGCCCACATACTGTATCATCAGCTCTGAAAGTTGATACCTTTTTCCTCTTCTTCCTCATTTTTCTGATCACCAAACTTCCCACAATGAGCAGCACTACACTTTGGATGGAGATAAATTCACAGACCTTAGTCTGAAATTAGGCTGCCATTTCTCTAAAATGAAAGCAGCCTGGTGCTGCCCTTCTTTTCCCTCTCCTGAAAGGGACCTAAGAGTTTTATCTAGAAATGTTCTCAGCCTGATGGGGCAAGAAGAGATTAACAACAGGAACAATAAAATAAACATCCCATAACTCATGTTTAATAAGGCACTTGCAAAAATATCAAATGTAACATGACATCTTCAGCCTTCATGCCTTTTCTTTTTATTCTCCACAAAGAATCAAGGGGGAAAAAATCCAAAAGGCAGAATTTCCAGGGCATCTGGACAGCCAGCATTCCCAGGGCTGTTTCAGTAAGTTATTCAGAATATTAGCATGACTTTCTGCTTTATTACATACCTGCAATGCCAAACTTCTGCTTAGGGAGCCACAAGCCATGCACAGAAGCTTTAACTCCCAAATAAATCCCTAAGGTCTCCCTCATGCAAAATACACTATCATGTGGATAGAGCACTGCCAGAGGGACTGGTGACCAAAAGAAAAGCACATAGAAGAGTGCAAAGAGCCCCATATTGCCAAACCATGACTGTTCTTCACTGCATCAATATTCCTCTCTGTAGGTTTTATTCCCAGCAATTTTTCTGTCTTGCACAGCTCCTGACACCAGGTCTGCATACAGGGCTAAATAACACCCAGCGGATATCACAGAGTCCATACATCCCAGAGAATGTAAATATTTAAAAATAAAAATATAAATATATAAATATCACCCAGAGGATATCACAGAGTCTGTACATCCCAGAGGATGTAAATATAAAAAATAAAAATAAAATAAAAAATATCACCCAGAGGATATCACAGAGCCCATACAGCAGCCATGGGGCAGGGACCTGGAATTCACTGGTTCATTGGAAAAAATCCCTCATGTCAAACTCTCAATCTTCTCTCAAATGTAGAACATACAAAATGTATGGTCAGCTACCAAAAATAAGGAGATGTCATTCTCATGAAGCAGCAGAACCCTTTAGAAGACAAATTAACTGTACTTTATAACAAGTCAGTGAAATTAAAGATCCAGAGGCACTCAAGCTTTTTAGCAGCATCCATGGTTCCTGAGAGAGGGAGGGAGGAGTGTGATGTTTTTACATTAATTTTTCTATTACACAAGGTGTTTATAATCAGCTTGGTCCTTAACATGTATTTCTACCTCCCACTTACAGATTCCAGCATTTTTAATTGAAATTTTGTACCAGTAAGTGCCAGTTTGAATTTCTTCTTGGCACATATGTTTGAAAGTTATACTCCATTAAGATGAACTCTGTTGGCCTCCCAATCACAAACAGGAGTCAGGTGTACTTTAATCTCTCACTTCAATTGACTATTTTCTCAAGACAAAAATCTTTTTTTTTAAAGAGAAGATTGTGATTCATGTGTAAAGAGGGCTTTTATCACTCCATGTGATACAATATATTCAAAACATGACATTTAATTTTACCTGAAAATCATGAGACTCTTGTCTAGCTGAGGCAGGAAAAAAGCCAGAGTCAACCTCAGTTATAAGAAATCCCAGAAAATTCAGTGAACCAGCAGACTAAAAACTCAGCAACAGCTCAATCACAAGATGAGTTTGCAGAAACTGAAAGCCTTGTATGATAAAAAAGCAATAAAGTTTTGGAATATTGATGGAATGAAAGTTCAGGAAGTCTCAAGGCTTTGTAACTATCAGCATAAGCATGTGAAAACAGCAAAAAAAAAAAAAAGAAAAAAAGATAAGTTAAGATCCACTGAAGTAAACATACAAATATGTTCACATTAAAGACATAAGTGGATGATGCAAAAAAATTTGGGAAACATCAGAACAGTCATAACCTGAGAGAATTCCCTGACACCAGCAGAGGGAGCTCATGGAAGGGACATGAACTGACTAGGACTGATGTATTTTACATAAATAAAAAAAATACACAGAATAAGTAAATATATATATATATAAAATCTGCTCTGACACCAGCAGTGACTGAAGAGCAGACAGCATACTGCATACAAAATCTGTGCTTTCATATTGGGGTATGATAGCTTTGAATCTGCAGACCTAAAGGGATGTGGCTTACAATTTAATTTGTAGATGAAGAATGAGAAAGCTTTAGAAGCACTGCTTCATTTAGGGAACTGAATTATTACTTAATGAAAATAAGATAAAAAAATTCAGAGTTGCCATACAGCTCTTACTGAGTTTTGTACCATGTATGTTCAAGGCTTGTGCACAATGGCATTTTCCCCCTCACCTGGCCAGTTTTTATATATTTGCCATCTTCACTTACCTCAAATAGGCCAACTACAACCCTGTTAAATATTGCTTTTATGAATTTGAGATTTTAAACCTGAAGCATTTTTACATGCTGGCTACATTAAATGGCAAAGCTATAGGTACACACCTACATTTATATATACATCCTAACTGCTAAATCTCAACACATCAGATCTTCTAATGTCCTAAGATATAAATCTCTCTTAGAATACACCAAGAAAAACAAATCCACCTACGTATAGTGGTGAGACAATACTTTGCAAATTACCTAATATCAAGGTATTTTGGAAAGCACTCACTGCTCCTGTTTCTGAGCTCTTCAGCACGGAAGTACTCTCAGTCCATATATACTGAGGATAAACTACAAATAATGTACTCATAAATCTAAAATCTAGTTTTCAGATCCTTCAGAATGAATAACTGCTTTCTTTTAGAAAGACTGCAAGTAGCTCTGACCCTTCTCAAAGTATTCTCACTGATAAAAATCAATGATCATTAGGAAAAAATGTAATAAGCAATAGAATATTAAGTGACACTTGCATACCACAGAGAAAACAGTATTCTAAATTAAAGCAGGAGACTGATGGGGACCTCATCAGTCTCTACAAATGCCTGAAAGAGGTTGTAGCCAGGTCAGGCTCAGTTTGTTCTCTCAGGTAACAAAAGCAATCACAAAAGGCAAAATGGCTTCAATTTGTGCCAGGGGAGGTTTACATTGGATAGCAGTAAAAACTTCTTTACTGAGAGGGTTGTCAAGCATGAGAACAGGATGCCCAGGTTAATTGTGTAGTCACCATCCCCAGGGTTCTTTAAAAGATGTGTAGATGGGGAGTTTAGGGACCTGGTTTAGGGGGGGGACTTGGCACTGCTGGGTTAATGGTTGGACTTGATCATTTTATGAGGTCTTTTCCAACCTAAATGACCCCACAATTCTATACAGCTGCCAGCAAATAACACCAAAAATGGGAAAGAAAACTGCAATTCTATTATAAAGAGAAGAATTGGCCTTTTCCAGATGTAAGGTGTCTCCACAGCCTCCAAGGGATCGTTTACTTCAGAGTAAAGAGCCCCTCTGTGGGGGCAGCTGGGATGTGTGTGAGGGAAATCATTTTGCACAGGTACATCCTCTCTCACTTGTAATGCAGTAACACCTAAATACTTTTAAAATAGTATTTTCAGCTTAGCAATAAGGCCTGGTGGGATAGGGTCTGCTTCTTACTCTACACATGCACTTCATCTATTATGGCCATGTGCTTCACTGCAATTTATTACAGCAGCACCATGCAGCCTGCTGGTAATCTGAGATATAGGCCAGTCTAAAGAGTGCTTGGGGCTGTGAATAAGGGGCTCAAAACAGAGCTCATTTTTTGGTGTTAAACCTCACTGCTACTGTGCATCTTCATCAGTGCCTCTATGAATTGCGGTTTGATTTTTAATATGTTTCTTTTCACAAAAGCTTTGAAAATAGGGCACAAATTGTACATTTTCCTGAGTGGTTCAATCAGTTGTTCCCAGGTACATGCTACATTTGCTTATTTCACTTGTATTTTTCCTGTATCAATAGGTTTGGCAAGGTATTCAGGGTTTTCCTAGCAGCTGCTCCATGCAGCTCACAGCCCATGAACAGCAGTGAACCAATGTTTCATTTATGTGCAAGTGATGGCACCAAGTTTTAGCTTTAGTTATTCCACACATTTTATGTGCTGGGCCTGCCTTAGTTTCCATGCAAAGCACCTGCCAGCCCACAAATCACTCATCACAGATGGGTTTATGTCTCCTCTGCAGATTTGTGTTATCTTCCCCTTTTCAGTCCCTTCAGAGTAACTAGACCCTAATGAAATCTATTTTACTACTGTAGACAGAAATTTGCTGCAAATCAGTTGAGCTGCTTACAGTAACAGCATAATGAACAGCAAGCAGTATGGAGGAAAATGAATTACCTACATGTACAGAGATGCTTTTGTGCTAACTCCAAGTCTGTTTTTCTGGTCACAGCTACAGAGTGTGCCCCTAACTGCTCAGACTCAGACAATGCAGTCTCACTCCACACAAACACCAGCCTGCTGTGGATCCCTGTACCAAAGCATCCCCCCCAGCACAACACCACATCCTGCCACAGGCCTTCCATTCCCTCCCACATCTCAAGCACAGGTGCTCCTACTTTCTCATTTTCTATCACTGCTACAAAAGACTGATGTTTTTTGTGTACAAAGGAAACAAGGACATACATATGATAAACAATCATCATCCCTCAAATAATTTAGCTTTGTAATTCCTTCTTTCATGTGGCCTGAAGTCAGGTGCAGTATTTATGTAGTAATTCTAATTGTTCAGACTTGCTTTTTGTGTGTACAAACATAAATTATAATAGGATTGTCATTAAAAAATAATTACTGCTTTTGTCTCATATTTCTGAGCTATCAGCATGTTAAAAATAGAAGCAACCCTTTTTTTTAATTTCAGAATCTTGTTAATTATCTGAGTATGACTACCCAAGGTGTACATAATTATTTCATAATAGGGTAATTAAAGTGTCTCGGTCAATGCTTTGGGATTTTCAAAATAAAATGCAAGTCAGTATTGAATCAAAATGTACAGGGAGGAAAGCATATAACAATTATTTCACATAACTGTAGGTTTATAAACTCATTTAAAAAACGCAGAAGACTTGCAAACAACAATTTTCTGCTTTACCTAATGTTTTTATTGTGGATTTTCTACTACCTCAGTGGTAAAACATGTGAGAATTATTTTTTATGTGGACATCTCAAATCAAATTCTTGGCTCTAGTGGGTAAGCCAGTTTTACCTAACAAACCTGTGTGATGTGGTTACTCCAACATCAGCAGCTCAAATCCACCAGAAAACACAATGGAGGAAGATCAGAGAAATTTAGGAGGCACAATTACACATGCCCAGACTGACTAGAATGAATATATAAAGAGCATAAAAAGAAGAGCTGGTAGGCAGAGAGAAAGAAGATCAAATACAAAACATGCACAAAAGACCATTTCACATGTCTGGTTGTATCCTTCCCATTTAGATAAAACCTACCTCAAGAAGAACTAATAATTTTCTCTCAAAGAAAGAATGTGGTAATTTCAGGGCTGCCCCTCTTGTTGGTTTCTTGATGTTGAATAAAAATACCTATCCATTGCTGAAAAGTCATATTTTCTTTCTTCTTACCACTAAACTTTTACATTCAAGCTTTCAAAACAAATCTTGTAGACAAAAGCCTCTTTTCATATATTGTGAACAGGTATATTGATCTACAAGAGCACTTAAAAACACCAATAACTTTACTTTCTTATCTAATAATAGGAAAGCAGTGCTAGAGAAGCAACAGTGTGGAAAGAAGTAAGTAAAATTTCACAAGTGGAACAAAATACCCTCTGTTACCCAAAGATGATGTCTACCAGCAGATTTTCAACTTGTCCTTTTACCCTGTAGCCATCAAAAAAGATCGTGCCTGTCTTTACAAAGCCGTGGTATTCACCACTTAGACAGTGGGATACTTGGCTTTTTTTCATTTGGGACAACCTTGACTTGCCAGAAATAAATATTTTCAAAGTACTCAAAGCCATCTGAGCTACAAAACCTACAGGTATGAGCAGCCACACTTTTAGGATTTTATTTAGCAAATGACAACATGGAAAGGTGGAATCAAGGAGAGAAACTTACAACTCAAAGACCATATAAAGCATTCCATCTGAGCTGTATGTCTCCAACAGTTCAACAATGTGAGGATGCTTCAGCATGTGACAAATACTGGCTTCTCTCTTCAGATCTGTGGAAGATAAGAAGGTAGTTGCAGATTAGCTATATATTCAAGCTGTTTAGAACATCATGTTTGGAAAGATGCACACATTTGAAATTTCTAAAAAACTCATTAATCTTTATAAAGAACTCTGACAAGTGGATATTTAATTATGCTTAATTCAAATACTCACATACAGCTCAAAATTTAACAGATTCTTGAATTCACATATTAATAGAAGATCTCCTTGGTTATAGACTGAAGAACTCTACAGAAGTTCCTTGAATGTACAGTTGCAGACTACACTGAGATTTTCATCCCAAACATTTAACAACACTGCAGAATTCCCTCCAAATGCACAAGACAGACTTTCACCACACTACAGAATTATTAATAAGTGGAGGTCTTTAAATCCTCTGCTCCAAGCAAGGTGAACTGGAGCAGATTGTGCAGGGTCACACCCAGCTGAGCTCTGAACATGTCCAGGTGTGGAAACTCAAAAACCTGCCCAGAAAACCTACACCAGTACCTGATCATCCTCAGAAAATAAAGAAGTGTTTTCTTATGGTTAAATTTCTTGCAGTTTACTTCTTCAACAGTATTTATTTAAAATCACATTATATGAAATGACACTGGCATAAATTTCCATCAGCATACATTAGTTTGCATCTCTGCTCTAGAGACGAGTGAATAAAGCAGGAAAAGTTGCAGCTAAAAGAAGAGCAGAAATCACTCTGAAATCTCTCAAAGCTTAAAAGATTTTGTTTCAAACAAGTCCTACTTTTTCTGATCACAAATAAATCCTTGTGCACAAAAAGAAATGCACAACACCAAACCACACGGCATTAATTTTCTTTCTTCTTTGTTGAAACAATTTGGTATTTTTGTTATTTAATCATCCTTAAACTTTTTTTCTTTTCACTTATCTACTCGTATTCTAGAAAGAATAGCAAAATCTTTAATGAATAGCTTTGATGATAATATGATAAGTGAGGAAAACATCAGTCTGAATTCTGAAGCAGACATTTTACTTTTCTATTCTCTTTTCATACAATTAGTCATTGTTCAAGAATGACCTACACATGCATTTATGGAGAAATAAAAATATCATTTCTTGGTTTGAGAATATTCTCCATATAACTGGGCTACGCTAGAAAGAAATTTACAATGCACTATTTTCACATGTGCCCTCCTACATTCTTAACAGGAATCAATTATATTGAAAAATGCAAGCAGCAAGATGAAGATTCCTTTATGCGAAACATTTAACAGGTAACTCAGATTTATGCTAGACTCTGGATCTTTCAGCCATCTATAAATTCAGATGAAAAGCTGAGAGTTTGGAAATGACTGAATTTCAATCCAAGAAAAATGTTCAGATCCACAAAGTGCAAATTTTGTTACCAGAACTTTCATATGACACCTGCAATTTGTGTTCCCTCCCTCACAATCTTGCAAATACAATCTAAAAGCAAAATGACAGAGCAATCCTTTAGAAATCATCATGTAATGGCACCTTAGGAGCTGCAAGCTGAACAGCAAACAGAAGTATCATTCAGTGATACAGGAGAAATTTTGATAAAGAAATTAATGTAAAATGTGGCCTTTATTTGTCCATGTATTTATTTAGATGAAATTCTACAACCTAAAGAAACAACAGTGTGGAAAATACATTATCAGTTCTTACATCACCACCATGCATAATAACTACTAAAGTCACACTGTAACCTTCCCTTCCATCACAAAAGGCAATGATTTGACACTGAATGGTTCCCATCCCTTTTCTAGCAGAGAGGTTCACTCAAGTACACATCCAGTCCTTTCCAAACAGGATCAGAGATGAGCACTCTGAGGAGCAGGGTAAGGGAATGAAAATCTGTGATTCTGTGAATGACTATGATCTTCAGAAAATTGGCTGCTTGTATTTTGTCTCTCGCTTTGTAACAACTTTAATGCCACCACACTTCACTGTGGATCTGATACCTATTTCAGATGGAAAGCCAAGTGGAAATAACCAACATGAAACTGCAGGAAAGTTCTGTTTATTTACAGGCAAAAATTGTGCTCAAAATAGTTTATTGTGGCTGCTCCCTTTATTAATATTTTGTGGGCTTTATTTGAAAGGAATTAGAACTGAAAGGAAGAAAGTATATGCTGCCATTTCCCTCATTCCTCTGTGTAATATTGGATGAGTGCAGCAATTGCTCAGACTGAGCACCAGCACACGAGGAAGGAGAAACAAAGTGGAAAATAAAATCTCCAAACAGGAAAACAAATGAATAGAAGTTACAGAACAAGGCTTTTTATGACTAAGGGGTCTTGGGGCTAAGAGCAGAACAAAGTCCTATTTTAAACACAGCAGGGACTTGTTCAACAGTAGGCCTATTAAGAAAAAGAAAATGAGGTATAAGGAGACAGACAAGCACATACCACACTGATTCAACAAAGCCACAGGGCAGGAAAGAGATGATGGATTCTGAAGTACATTTGGACCATGACCCAAAGGTCAAAATAAGCAATGTTTAAGACCAGTAAAAAGGAAAGAGAAGGAAAAGACAGAGATGACAAATATGTTTCATTGTTTGCACTTAAAAAAATGACATCAGCATCTACTCAATCCTTTAGCAAATGCTTTTTCTAGACTGAATTAAATTTTACCTCTGCAAGTCAAAGAGGTAAATGAAGTCCCAAGTACCCACAGACACATTCTGAATGCAACACAAACCCAAGCAGATGCTCACTTGCACCAAGTGAGGATTAAGGATATCCCAAAAAAATCCCATTATTAACTTGTGAGCCACAATATTATCTGAGGCATCATTCTGAATACCACATTGTATGAACTATTTGCTACCTCCTGCTAAGTTTTCTAAACTTCTTCTGAGTATTTGAGCCATGTTGTGCAGTAATAAAGATCCCAGACACACATCCCATATTCAAATTAACCTTTCATACTCCAGACACCTACAAAAGATTCAAGACAACGCCAGAATCTGCCAATGGAGAAAGGTGGCTTCAAGCAGCAAGAGGTGATGTGTCCTTTAGTAGTGGCCATGTGTCCCATATTTACAGCAGTCTCCTCCACTAGTAAACAACATTTAGCTGAGAGAACACATCCTGCAGGTCTTGGAATCTAAACCAAACTGTCATCTTTTACTGGCTGGACGATTTAACTTCATTTGAATCCTTTCTGAACCCTTCATCTATTTATTTTTCTCTTATTCCTGATATGGCTGAAGAAATTACTTTCTGGTTCATTCTTTAAACCTTCCCTGCCAGCCCTTTTTTCCAAATTAAACATAATTGACAACAGGGATAATAAATAGAACTGCAAGTTTTAAAAGCACAAGTTTTATAAGTTTCTTTGCCAGCTGCATGAAAGGTATTGACACACAATCAGGAAGAGGGACAAAAACCTGGTGTTCCATTTATTTTGTTTAACACACAGGCTCATACTTTACATCACAATTTAAAAAGCATTTACAAGCTATCCTTTTACACAACTGTTACCAATAAATGTGCCAGAATTTCAGTCTGTTTACAAAACTTTGAGGGTTTTTTTAGCAACTGGAGACACGGTAAAGTTTCCATTTTAGACCTGGCTACTTATTTAGAGAGGCACTCAAGTTATTTAAAGGGCAGGAAAGTTCAGATTTTAGTAACAAAGAAGAAAAGTTCAAAGATGGAAAAGAGAATTACCAACCATAATCAGCACACAGAGAAAATGCAGCCTCATGTGTCGAGAGCGACACTGAAAGTGAATTGCTGGAAGCACTAAAAAAGATAACTGCTCTATATAATTGCACAGAAAGATATATCAGTCTTTGATAAAAAACATAAAACATGAGTATCACTTAAAATTCCCACAGGAATTAACAACCCAATATCCTACACATCTCTGACAATTCTGGCAAACACCTAATTTCCTTTCAAAATCTGCTACCCAAGGTTTTAAAACACCTCAAATATACTGAACACGTTTTCAAAGTACATTAATGGAAGAATTAGATGATCTCTAGCAGCCTACATAATAGCACCATTTCATAATTTTAAAAGTAACATGCACAGACTGTAGCAGCCCCATCTTTTTTTGGGACAGACAGTTCCAAGTTTCTTAGCATGATGGAAGACACATTTCTGTGTACACAATTCATTTTTATACATACACCATTCTGATTTTCCAGGTTCAGTCCTTTAAAGGATTAGTTTTCCAGCCACAGCTTGGGCATGACAGTATTTTGAAAGGAAGTATCTTCAACAGTAAGTTTCTTGCTTAAAATGCTTCTATATGTTTTGTACAGCAATATATGATTATTTATAACTTAAACAGATTTGGTAGTACTGAGTTTTAAAGGGAAATCAATATGCTTTGTTCACTTGGTTATGTCATTCTCACCAGCCATCCTTAGGTGAGAATCATGGAGAAGCTCCTCACCACCCAAATGGAATTTTTCCAGAAACAGCTAAACTGAACTGTGTGTCTTGAAACGTGCCTGAAGCATGGACAAGGGAGACACTGAGATCTCAACCCCAGCTGTTTCACCCTACACACAATTGTCCTGTGGATTATTAGCCTTTGCTAGATGTTAAATTCCCACTCAGCTGGGCAGGGGTAGAAGATTCAAGTAACAAGAACAAAAAAACCTCGTGGGTTGACATAAAGACAGGGAGATTGTTTATCAGCTATTTTCAGCCAAACAGTCTTGATGAAATTAACTTAATTTTTGCCAATTAAAAGAAGATAAACATGAAACCAAGAAATTTCCTCCCCCCTTTCACGGGCTTACCTCCACTGCTTCACTTCAGCCCCTCCAGCCCCAGCTGTGAGGGGTGCAGGGGTGAGGGCCATGCTCTCACTGCAGGCCCCTCTCTGTTACCCCAGCAAGTCTCCTCCATCTGCTCTGCCATGGCCAATCTCCTCCTTCCCTGCCCTTGCTGTGCCCTCTTTTTGTTCCACACTCCCTACACTTTGTCCCAGTGTTTCCCACCCCTCCTGAGATGTATCTGCACAAAGCACCACAAATGAGGCC